TGGTCGCGGGCCTGCAGTGTCAGCTCGAAGGCGCGCAGCTGTTCGTGGTCGAAGGCGCGCTGCGCGAACACCACCCCGCTCTGTGCGCTCACAGACACGTAGGACAGCAGCGTTCTAGGCTCCAGGTCGCTGGCCACGATGGAGTAGGAGACCTGGCCTTTGGGTCCCAGGTCAGGGTCGGAGGCTCTTACTTGCACAATTGAAGCTCCAGGCAGATTGTTCTCTGCCACATGGACCGTGTAGGAGGTCTGCTGGAAAACAGGTGCATTGTCATTGACATCGGTGATGTGCAGGGTGACTCGTATCCTAGAGGAAAGGGATGGTTTCCCTTTATCAGTGGCTGTGAGGGTAATGTTGTACTCTGAGGTCTCTTACCGGTTTAGGGCCCTCTCTATCACCAGCTTGTAATAATTCTTGGAGGTGAATTCTAATTTGAAGGGAACTTCTTCTTGAATATAGCATGTCACCAAGTCATTTTGCCCAGTCTTTGTCTGTCACTTTAATGAGGGCTATTATGGTTCCAAGGTCTGAGTCCTCTGGAATATGGTTAGAAAACGATATGAATGTCACCTCTGGGGTGTTGTCATTCTCATCAACAATTTCAATATGAACATTACTGTGAGCCGTGTGCACTCCTCCATCCTTGGCTTCTACACCCAAAATGTACCTACTCCTTTCTTCAAAGTCCAATGTACCATTGGTTGTGATATCACCGGTATTTGGATTGAGATTGAAAAGGAGGCTAGTACTTGTCGGAGCATTGAGGAAGGCATAGGTGATCTCTGCATTAACATCCTCATCCTGGTCTGTGGCCACTACCCGGAGCAGAGAGGTTCCTGGGGGCACGTTTTCTTGCAGAGTAACTCTGTATATGTCCTGACTGAACACTGGAGCATTATCATTGGAATCAGTAACTTTGATCCCGATCTGGGTGGTGCTGCTTAGAGGTGGGTCCCCACCATCAATGGCAGTCAAAATTAAACGATGGGAGCTCTGATGTTCCCTATCTAAAGGTTTTTCCAACAATAATTCTGGGTATTTACTTCCATCAGGACTTTCCTTTGTTGACAGAGAGAAATGTTGATTGGGGTTGATGGTGTATATCTTCAGTGAGTTACTTTCTACATCTGCATCTTGTGCAGAATCCAGAGAGAATTTTACCCCTGGTAAGGCTGACTCACAGATTTCTAATTCAATGCTTTTTGTAATGAAATGTGGTTCATTGTCATTAATATCTTGGATTACAACAATCACATGGAAAATATTCATTGGATTTTCAGTGACTGTTTCAAATTCCAGTGCACACTCAGATTTTCTCCCACAAATCTTCTCTCTATCTATTCTGCCGCTCACTAACAAATCTCCACTCTCCACACTCACGTTGAAATAATCCTCTGCAGTAACCCAAAGTTTTTGAGCTGGCAACTCCTGGACACTGAGCCCAATATCCTTGGCGAGGTTTCCCACCCAAGAGCCCTTGGCCAGCTCCTCTGGAATGGAATAGAGAATTGGCTGGGAAATGGCCCCACAAAACAAAGAAAGCAGGAAGGGAAACAGTACCTGACTTTTCATCGTTTCCATTTCTCTGGAGTTTCTCTGCATTTCTTTATCTCTCTGGGAAGCTTTGTTTCAAGGTTTCCCTGGGATTGTTTTTAAAGTCAATGACAGCACCCTGGACTTCTTTGATTTGAGGTTATCATTTGTTTGTCAGGTGTTTGAAGGTGCACAGGAACAGTTACTGGGTTCTGATACATGCAAGATAAGGGAAGAAAGCACTGGCTAGCCTCTTCCTGCAGAAATGAGAACCTTTCTCTTCCCTTTGGTCAACAGTGGCGCCCAGAGGTTGTCTTGGATAATTGCTGATTGCCCAGCTATTTATCCTCAATGTGTAAACTTGATTTTGCTACTTTGTCTTTAAATTTGCTTGAAAGAACTGAGTATTTGCATTTCCCCATTAATTTGACATTTCCTTGTTTGTCATAATCTCATAAATACCTTCATCACTTTACGTTCTTCTTTTTTCATTTCATGAAGCATAGTCTTTTTTCAGTTTTTGTGGGCCAAAGTATTTTCCAGTGATTTCACTGTGTGGTATTTATACATTCAGGCATGACTGATGTATCTAAATAAGTGAATGGATTTTACTTACTTTATTTTTAAATTTTATTTACTTTTTAAGTGAACTATGATCCTTTCTTCAAATTCTCTGGAATAACTTCCCTTATTTAGAATTTAAATTTGTCCATATACACTCTGTCTTATGTGCAGTCTTTGCAATAGGAGAGGGAGTCAAGGCTCTGGAATTATTTTACTGTATTGCTTTCCTTTATAAAATATAATATTCCCAGGGCCAGGGATTTAGCTCAGTGGTTCTGCCGCCTGCCTCACAAGCTCAAGGTCCTGAGTTCGATCCCCCATACAAGATAATAATAATAATTATTATTATTATTATTCCCAGCTCACTAGAGTGGAGCTTAATCTTTCATTAAAGGGACCAACTCAATATTTGGATACATATGCTTTTATAGTACTGAAACTTGTGTAAGCCATAATTAGTTTTACAAAACCAGTGCTTTTATAGAAATGTATATGTAGCATTTGATAATTGCAATTCTCAGCTTCAGTGAATTTATACTATTGATGAATTAAAATGAGTTTGACTTGATCACTCTTAAATATTGAAGAGATGTTGAGAATTCTTAGACACTCCATTCAAAAACTCATCCTAGGGCTGGGGATTTAGCTCAGTGGTTCCACTGCCTGCCTCAGAAGCACAAGGTCCTGAGTTCGATCCCAGGTACCAAAAAAACCCCCCAAAACCAAAAAAAAAAACCTGATCCTGGTCTCGGGTACTCAAGCAAACAAATCCTTTTATTTCAAGACCACTACCAAACTGGATACAGTTAGTTTTATTTCATCTCACAAATTTCATGTATTGGAAACCTAATCCCCAAATCACACATTGAGATATTAAGAAATGGGACTTTTGGGAGATGAATGAGTCATGAGAGTCCTACCTTCAGTAATGCATTGATTTATGAATGGATTATCAAATGAGTGGCTTTGTTGTAAAAGCAGCTGTCTCTGGCTCACTTCTGTTTTGTCATGTGATGCCCTCTGTCTTGTATGGCCCTGCAAGAAAGCGCTACTGGATGCTGACTAGATGATGGCACCATGCTGTCAGACTTCCTAGCCTCCAGAACCACTGGCTAAATAAACTTCTATTCTTTATGAATTATGCAGTCTCAGGTATTTTGTTATAGCAACAAAAATAGACTAAAACAGATGCCAACTTAGCAATTTATTCTACTACTTTTCAGTGCTTATTTATGCTCCAGTTGAAAAAACTATTATGTTTTCTAAGACACTCTTTCATTTGTTTTCTTTGTTCTAGAAATATTTTACAGAGACTGAGAAATAACTCTTTCCTTTTTATAAAATCCTCCTCAGAGGGCAATAAATACCACTCCAAGGCTTATAATGATATACACAAGTGAACTTTCCACCTTCAAGCAAAAGGCTGAAATTAATGAGAACACACACATACACACACTTTAGGCACTAACGGTCAAACTAATTGATTAATGTCTATATATTTTTATTATTTATTTATTTATTTATTTATTTATTTTGGTACCAGGGATTGAACTCGGGTCCTTGAGCCTGCGGAACAGTCGGTGGAACCACTGAGCTAAATCCCTGGCCCATGTCTATATATTTTTAATGTCCTATAGATGCAGAGTGTGGAGGCCTGGTTTGGAAGGAAAGCATAAAACATCTTGCATTTACACATGTTTGCAACTTGTTTGTATGATTCTGGATAAGGTAAGTAGACAGAGGTGACAAAATTCATACCACAGGGATTTAAAACATAAAAGGTATGGCTAGGGGTGTAGTTCAGGAATACAGTACATCTTAGCATGCACCAAGATCCTATGTTTAGTACCCAGCACCAAAACAAAATAAAATAAATCATAAAAGATCTACTTATCACAAATACATAGACCAATGTTGGATCAACCACCGGGCTCTTCTTTCATTATAGTTACTCGAGGACACAGGTAGAAGGAGCAGCCACAATTTCAAAGAGATCTGGAAATCCTCACAATGGCAATTAGAGCTTTCTCTAGAAAGTGATGTATGGTAACTGGCACTCATAATGTTTTGACTGAACTAGTTACCTAGGCCACAGCTGCCAGAGCCAAGCCAGGAAGTGCAGAGAGGGAAGGACAAATATTTACACGACAGAACTAAAGACAACTTCATTACTTTATTTCTCAAATGAGCGTGTGTTAAATCTTTATAATAATCACCTTGGCACACTTGTTCTGCATGACATTCAAAAAGAGAAATAACTCACCTCAAGTAGCTTAGGATCCCTCTTCGGTTCAAGCAAATCTTGAGACACCAGAAGAGGCTCGCTTTTTTCACAGCTCTCCTGGCTGATGAGGGTGTCTGCATAGTTGGGTCGTGGGAAAATGAAGTGGCTCTTCCTGGAGTCCCCGGTGAGAGAGACCTCATGGGAATAGGTCTGCAGGAAGGAGCGCACGCCGTCCCCGCCCACAAAGTGTGACGCCGGCGTGCCAGCCAATCCGCTGCTTGCAGCCTGAAACAAGCGACTAGTGTGCCAACGCCTCAGCCTGAGCGCCAGCAGCACAATGACAAACGCCAGGAAGACACAGGAGACAGTAGCCACAGCCACCACCAGGTAGAGGGTGAGGTCGGAGTCATCGGGGTCGGCGGGGGTTCTAACGCTGCCCAGGTCTGCTAGGACGTCAGGAATGCGGTCAGCCACAGCTATGGTGAGTGTGACAGTGGCTGAGAGAGGGTGCTGGCCGTGATCCTGCACAGCCACCAGGAGGCTCTGCTTGAGGGCATCTCGGTCCAGCAGGGCCCTTGCTGTGCGCACCTCCCCCGTGTGCAGCCCCACGGAGAAAAGCCCTGGCTCAGTGGCCTTGAGAAGGTGATAGGACAGCCAGGCATTCTGGCCTGAGTCTCTGTCCACTGCCACCACCTTGGTCACCAAGTATCCGGGTTCTGCAGAGCGGGGTGCCAGCTCCACTCCAGTAGAACCATCTGTTGGGAGGGTGGGATACAGGATTTCAGGCATGTTGTCATTCTGGTCTAATACAAACAGGCTCATTGACACGTTGGTGCTGAGTGGAGGATTCCCACTGTCACTGGCTGTCACCAGTATTTGCAGGTCTCTAAATTCTTCATAATCAAAAGAACGCAGTGCATACAGGACACCAGTGTTGGAGTTGATAGTGATGTAGGAGGACAGCGGTGCTCCTTGGTGGGTATCCTCAGTCAATGAATAAGTGATCCGAGCATTGCTGTCGCTGTCTGGATCCTGGGCAGTCACTGAGAAGATGGAGGCTCCTCTAGGGTTATTTTCAGGAATATAGGCAGAGTAGGAGGCCTCAGAGAAGGCAGGTGAGTTGTCGTTGATATCTGTTACATGCAGAGTAATGTGAGTTTCTGTGGACAGAGGTGGATGCCCCCCATCCGTGGCTTTCAGAGTGATATTATATTCGGACACTTTTTCATGGTCTAGAGATTCAGCTGTCACTAAGCGGTAATATTGGTCTATTGATTTTTCTAAATTAAATGGCAGATTTCCTAGGACAAAAACTGTGACTTGTCCATTCTGCTCAGAATCTCGGTCATGCACATTTATAAGAGCAATTTCTCTTCCAGCAGTAGCCTCTTCTGGGACTGAGCCTGTGAGGGAAGTGATTGTAACCTCAGGAGCATTGTCATTCACATCCAGAACTGTGACTAGAATCTTGGCTCTTGAAAGAAGACCTGGGCCATCCTGTGCTTCAATTTTGATCTCATAGAACACAGAATCCTCATAATCTAGACTTTTTAATATTGATATGTCTCCAGTCACTGAGTTGAGATCGAAAAGCTGAGTGATTTTGCCAGGCATTTTATCTAGGATATAGGTCACCTGCGCATTGAATCCCTCATCAGGGTCAGTGGCATTCACTGTGACCAGCCGCGTGCCCACTGGCACATTCTCTTGAACACTTACATGGTATTCAGGCTGAGTAAACACTGGTGGGTTATCATTTGCATCCAAAACTATCACTTGGAGGCACAAGTTGCCGGAACGGATAGGGTCACCACCATCAGAGGCAATGAGGTCAAGCTGATGAACTTCCTTTTTCTCACGGTCCAGGGCCCGCTCCAGCACCAACTCTGGATATGTGGCCCCATCAGAGACGCTATTTACAGCTAGGGAGAAGTAGTCATTGGGGCTGAGGTTGTAGCTCTGCAAGGAGTTCACGCCCACATCAGGATCAAATGCAGTTTTAAGTGGAAATCGTGTTCCAGGAACTGTTAGTTCACCAATTTTTACTTCCAATTCCTCTGTTAGAAAATTAGGAGCATTATCATTAATATCTTTAATTTCTACCTCTACTTCAAAAATTTTCAATTTGTCCTCAACCAGGATGTTGAATTTTACCAGACACCGCGCGCTGTGGGCGCACAGCTCCTCCCGGTCTATCCTGCCCGCGGTGACCAAGCTGCCGCTGCGCGGGTTCAGAGAGAAAAGCTGCGTCCTACCTCGGGAGACGATGCGGACTCCGCGCTCCG